CGGTCGCCGATAAGGGATCTCGTGAGGTCCCCTCCGCCCACCCAGAGCTCTTCCTTGGCCTCCGCCAGGCTGAAGCCTTCCCTTTCTGACCATGCCTTCGCAGCGTGCCTTGCCCTCGTAATGCCGTACACCAGTCCATCGATGCTGTCGCTCTTGACTCCGACGCACAGGTCGTCGGCGTAGATAACGACCTTGATGTCGTACTGCGGAGCATCTGGGTTATCCGCGTCTTCCTGGTGGGCCTTCTTAATCTCGTCTACCATCCCGCACGAATCCAGTACGAACAATCTTGGCGACAGCCCCGACCCCTGGCTCACCCCTTTCGTCCTTAGGCGAGTGGCATGCTCTCCGCTGCTGCTCACTAGGGTGACTACCCTGCCCTGGAGGAAGGATTTAACCAACTGTGTCCATTGAGCGCCAACGCGCGTGTTCACCGCTGCTTCGACATTCTGCCAGCGGCAGTGGTCGAAAGCTCCCGTGACGTCTTCCAATAGCATGCCTGTGAAGCCTTGGCGGCATCGTTTCGGCCCCCCCTCTATCCAGTCCCTTATCGCTTTGATTCCAGTGACTGTCGAACGGCCTGGCACGTATCCGTGCACCCCGTCCGGCACCTCGTGGGTGCGCCAGTGCCACAGGATCACCTTTTCCAGAACCTTGCCCAAGACCCTGAGTTGTTGTAGTTGTTGTAGTTGTTGTTGTTGTTGTTGTTGTTGTTGTTGTTGTTGTTGTTGTTGTTGTTGTTGTAGTTGTTGTAGTTGTTGTAGTTGTTGTAGTTGTTGTAGTTGTTGTAGTTGTTGTTGTTGTTGTAGTTGTTGTAGTTGTTGTTGTTGTTGTTGTTGTTGTTGTTGTTGTTGTTGTTGTTGTTATTGTTGTTGTTGTAGTTGTTGTAGTTGTTGTAGTTGTTGTAGTTGTTGTAGTTGTTGTAGTTGTTGTAGTTGTTGTTGTTGTTGTAGTTGTTGTAGTTGTTGTTGTTGTTGTTGTTGTTGTTGTTGTTGTTGTTGTTGTTGTTGTTGTTGTTGTTGTTGTTGTTGTTGTTATTGTTGTTGTTGTAGTTGTTGTAGTTGTTGTAGTTGTTGTAGTTGTTGTAGTTGTTGTAGTTGTTGTTGTTGTTGTTGTTGTTGTTGTTGTTGTTGTTGTTGTGTTGTTGTAGTTGTTGTAGTTGTTGTTGTTGTTGTTGTTGTTGTTGTTGTTGTTGTTGTTGTTGTTGTTGTTGTTGTAGTTGTTGTAGTTGTTGTTGTTGTTGAATATTTGAAGATAAATGTCTCTTCTCCGGTTGCGCGTGAATCTGAGAATATTTTCTTTCCAACTTTATGAAGGTAGAAATTCTCCAATTGGAGGAAGGTCTCCGA